TTCCCTCCCTTCTTGTTATTACTTCCCTTTGAACAAAAACTTGACTGCTAGTGACCAGAAAGTCAAGCAATACCTTTCCTACCAAAGGCAAAAAAGTTCCAAAAGGAAGAAGAACTGATGTACTGTCATCTTACGCCATAAAGAAATACTACAAAAGTTTGTGAATGATAAGAGACAACTCTCCCACTCTCTTGTCATCATGTTTACTTCTCATAGTGCTCGTTCTTGGTTTTTTCTGGGAGATTTTGTCTACCTCAGTTTGACCCTGAATTTTGAGTAGCACAAAGTTTTTCACACTGTGATTGGACAGATAGAACTCATATCAGTAAAAGAAGTAAACAAGCTCCCATTAGACACCTCACGTGTCTGAATGCATTTCCTCAATACCCATAAGAATCTGGGGTCCACCATAAGTTGTATACCAGTCACACAGATGAATATAGGATATAAAAACCATGACATTATTGGCTATACGGAAAGAACAAGACTGGATTAGATTATCTTGGATAAAAAACAACTCAACCCCTCATTCCTTCTCCAGCAAACACAACCATTACACTCAGGGCTAGTATCTTTTTTTAAGGTTTTGATACTCCTATCTGCTTATTAGAACTATTTACAATGACCAGCTAAACAACATTATGTCATTCCAGACAAAATTCGACTTGAACACAATTCTTTTTTTCTTTTTAAAAAATTTTTGGTTAAGCGCTAGTGGAGTTAAGGCTTCACATGGGTAGTCCTCAACATTGGTGGTGCTGGGTACCCCAGGTGAATTCTTGACACATTAGCATCTTCTTTTTGGGATAGCAATAAGTCGCTCGATGGGCCGGTCAATAGTCACACTCTAGGGAGTGTCAAGATATAGAATAGAAAATTGACACAGTGTATATTTACATACTCCCCATCTTTTCATGGTTTGTTTTTGTAAGTAGATACCTAAACTAGACAGTCATGTAACTATCTTATTCTAGTTGGGTGAGATGTAAATAGGTAACTCTTTGTACTATTCGTTGATCTGTAAATCCTTAGACAGTATAGGTAATTATTCATCCCGATTGTTCCTAGGTCTTTTGCTTATTAAAATAAATCTTGCTCACCTCGATGCAAGGATGAGCTAGCATTTTAAAAAAAAAAAAATAATAATAATAATTTATAAATTTTTATTAATATAGAATATATTTATTTTGATAGTAAATAACTTATTTAAGATAATATTTTTCTTATTAAATTAAATAAATATTACAATAAAGTAACTTGCCATGGTGCAAGAATAAGTTAACATTAAAAAAAAAAAAGAAATTAAATTAAAATAGATCAAAACCCTTTAAATTTTTAAATTAAATTTTTTATGTTTGCGATATTCCTATTCACTTGAAAATCACGAACAAGGGTTACATACGAATTCAGATGCTCGCACATTACGTAATTCATCATCGTCGTGTGACTTGAGCAGTTGTAACTCGATTTTTAACGCATTTTTTGCTCCAAAGAAAGTTTCTACATTAAAATCGATGGATAATTTGAAACAATGCAAAAAGGAATCAAATCATGACAATAACCTGCATCCATTTAATTTAAGTTCAAGAGATTCCTTGGTTCATGGCGGGAAGTCGGATATAACCGGAGTATCGGAAACATCTATTGTCGTGCCAGTTTCGCCGCCATTAAGAGAATTGCAGAACGAATTAGTTAAAATAAAAAAAAGCAACGGAGTAGAACGTCGGTCGAACAGGGATAATGAAGATTCGGAAATGACAAATATAACCTGGAAACCTTTGTTGCCGCGACCTCCGGCACCATATATACCTTCAAGCAGGCTAATACCAATAACGCCACCTACAAATTCTTTCACACCAGAAACACCAAGAAGTCCACCAGACTCTGGCACGCCTATGTCGGTATCCATGGTACAACCTGACTTGATGCCAATGCTGTTGGAAGCGGCTGCCGAGGCAGCCCTCCGTGACAAGCGTCAAGAGCGAATGGTCAAAAATCGTGCTGCAGCATATGAATCTCGTAAAAGGAAAAGAGAACAGGCTGAAAGATTAACAGCAGAAAATGAGGAAATGAAGGAAAGAATTATTAATTTAGAAGCGAGAATTGCGGAATTGACTAAGGAAAATGAACGATATAAACAGTTACTTATCGAAAAGAACAAAAGCGATGACTAACAATGTAAAGGTATGAGAATTTGGTTAGTTCTGTTTTGAGAAATGGCATCTATCGACACAAATTATGTTAATGAGTTTGACCTTGTACATTTTTCGTCACTTTAGTTTCCTTGCTGTACATCAAAAAATTCCTTCGGTCGTTGAAATCAATTTTCCAATATTATATATTGTCGATAATACGAAATCATATATTGTCGATAATACGAAATCATATTTCAGGAATTCCGAATGATTAACAAAGGCTCAGAAAGAGGAGAGTTTACGAGCGATAAAAGGTACAAGGAATGAAATGTTTTTATTTCTTGCTGCCAATTGGATCCTAATATTTGGAGTTTCTTGTGATTCAAATATAACTTGAGGTGCAATAGAACTTTATAAATCTCCTTTTCTTTTTTTAAATATATTTTCTTCAACCTAAGCAGAATATTATACTATTTTTAAATCTCGCTTTTTTAACCTTTCATGTCTTGTAATTTTTTGTAAAATAATTTATTCGAGTTTCCAATTTCATCCGATTCTTTCACCAAATTATTAATCATGAATGTATATACACGTGCCTCACACTCAATTAATAAAGCAAAGCATTAATACTCAGTCGAGCATTCGAATTATTTGTTTTAATGGCTATTAGGCTATACTTGTTGATCGCCTTTTGAATTTGTAATCAAATTAAAAAATCAACGGAATCACTTTGATGGATCTCCATCTCCATATTCAAAAGATAAGTGCCCTACATAAATTGTATTAATGTCCTTTTTTTTTTTAATAAATGAAATGATTAAAATTTTAGACATCTAGAATATCATTTTATAAGAGACATATTTTCCTGTACAATTCCAGTTCAATAAATCTATAAGGATTAATAAATAAGATATAAACACAAAAAAAAAAAAAAAAAAAAAAAAAAAAAACATTTTTTTCTTTGACCCAAGTTGTAAAATAGATGGTATTAACCAATGTCTTTACGTCTACCTCGGGTCACTTGCTGTGATCTAGGCTGCAAAGAAGAGACGGATCCACCAACACCTAAGGGAACATCATCATCCTCGTCCTCGTCATCTGCAGGACCATAATAGCCTTGATCATAATATGATCCCCTTTGCCCGACTGCTGGGTCCAAAAATTGTTGATTGTTATAAAATCGGTTTTGTCCACTCGGGGGTGGAATATAAGACTGTCGTGGATACATAGGTTCCCTTTCTCTTTCAACCATCATCATTTGTTGCCTTTGCTCCGCTAATCTACGATCCCTTTCCCTCTCAAGTGCTCTTTCACGTTCCAATTCAGCATTTCTAGGTAGCATGCCCTGCACCATGGTCTTTCTTTGATGTTCCCTTGCTGTAATGGCACCTACCAAGCCTGTTTGTGGATCCTTTTGTTTTTCTGGCAGATTGATCAACGGTGCCCCTGTTTCGCGGGCCATTAGTTCTTGCTCACGAGCTGAAAGCTGAGATTGTGGCAATGAAAAAAGACCCTGGGGACGAATGTGATTATGACTTCCTCGATCATCATAATACCCGTCATCCAAGTATACAAGATCACGTGCATAATCTGCATTTCCTCCGCTAATACGTCTTCGATTTGCAGTCATGGGTGCAAGGCCCATAGCCGATCTAGAATGGCCACCGAAACTTGCTACGCTAGAACGATCATCATCATAATATTCTCCGCCGCGATATGGTACTTGCATCATACTCCTTCGATTGTCTATTGGGTATCCTGAATTTTCCATATAATGACCCCCCGGGCCTGGTGGTGGAATCCATCGTTGTCCTTGATTATAATTAGGTGAGACCGACCTAGGACGAGTGTTGAAATTGGTCCTCTGATAATTTGAATTTTGTCCCACTTCTTCCACATAAACTGCCAGTGGTTCCTCCTCGGAAGTCACGGAATTTGATTTCTCGCTACTACTTTCGTCGCTTGATGCAACATTGGAAACCTTTTTTTGTTTGTCTTTTTGTTTGGTTGGTTTAAACACCTTGCGCGTTCTATTCACTGTGTCATCTTCTGATGTTTCTTCCTCGGATGTAGTTGACTCTTGTGTCTTGGTTTCCTTTTTTGCGACAACTTGATGTTCCTTTGATTCTGTCAACGTGACCGAGTCCTCCGCTGGATTGATAGTCAATGCACTGAGATTTACGTTCAAATCAGTTGAACCCTTCTCTGAATATTCATTTTGATTATTATTCAAAGATTTCTTCCTGACCGCATTCAGAGGTATCTTTTCGCTCTCGTCCTCCGACTCCGTTTTAGCCTCCTCTTTATCACTAATGGAATGCTCGGTTGATTCATCATCTTCACTTTCCAGCTGTTTAATTGGTTTTTTTCCCTCTTTCCTTCCACGGGCTGCTTCTTCGACAGCAGATCGTGGTTGTCGTCTATTTAAATCATTTCCATACGTCTGCTTGGTTGAATATGGCGGGGATGCCATTCTTTGTTGATCATCACTGTCAGAACCTTCTTCGCTGTCGCCCCTATTCAAAGGCAGAGATTTCATTTTGACATCTTTATTTCCACGACCAGATTTTACCATAGCCTTAATAGGACTATTTTTTATCGATGTTTCATCATTACTGCCTTCATCGCTACTACCTTCATCACTCCCTGTAACAACCGGAGATTCCTCTTCGCTACTTTCACTTTCCGACGGAAGTGGTGCTGGCTTTTTTTTACTCTGATTCTTTAATTTTGGAGGTTGATTTTTAAAAGAGACGGTCCTTTTAGGTTTCTTAGCAACTTCGGCGATCTCTTGTCCCACCTCATCATTTTTGCGTCCCGCAACTGCGGTCAGTATTTCAGCCATGAGATCACTATCACCAAGTGATCCAAACTCTCCCAATTTTATTGGATCGTTTTTAAAGCTGAGAATTGACCGATCCTCCCCGGGCTCTTCAACGACTATCTTGGCACCCTCTCGTGTACCCTTTAAAACTTTTTTATTTTCGAAATCATTTTCACTATCACTTT